TAAACAAAATGTAAAATTATTAACATCACAAAATGTTAGCAATGTTTTAGTTTGACCCTTTAAACTAAATGTAGTCATGCAGGCTGAAGTCCATCTGCTTACTGTGCATGTCTGTAGCCCTCTAATTCAAAAACATTTAAAATCAAGAGAACCATCAAAGTAATTTCCAGCTACTGCAATGACAAAAATTTGTTTATCACCAAAGTATGCCGAGTCTGAAATATAATTTAAGTGTGTGCAGTTCTATGATAAGATGCTACGATGTGTCAGAACGTCAGATGTTCAGTCTTTAGTTTGCAGCAGTTGAGAAAAGAGGATGAAACAGTGATATGGCAAGTCAGGTTACACCAAAGCCCGTCATCATTAATTAATAAACAACAACTCTGTTACTGTGGTGACTAAGGAAGGACGCTGACGCTGGCCTGCATTTGTAAGTGTATTCTCTCACGGTATATGTGTCACGTAGTAGTTTCCTTTGAACACAGTCCTTGTAGTGTGTTCTAGTTTTGCAGTCCAACAATAAGGAAGTAAGATTAAAGAAAAGGAAAAGCAACATTTTCTTATTTCAGACTTCAATCAACATTGGGGTCATATACACATCCCTCTGTGGGTCATGTTGGGGCAGTCATGGGCTGGAGGTTAGGGAACCAGCCTTATGACCAGAAGGTCGCCATTTCAATCCCCTGAGCCGACAGTACATGATTGAAGCGCCCTTGAGCAAGGCACATAACCCCCAACTGCTCCCCGGGCACTGCAGATAGGGCTGCCCACCGCTCCGGGCAAGTGTGCTCACTGCTCCCTAGTGTGTGTGTTCACTAGTGTGTATGTGGTGTTTCATTGCATTGATGGGTTAAAAGCAGAGGTGAAATTTCCCTGTTGTGGGACTAATAAGAGTCACTTAATCTAATCTCTGTTCACTTCGCAGAACAATGATAATGAACAACTGTGTCACAGTGAGAGAGTGTGGCATCAGAAGTATCCAGTGCTAAAAGGCCTCCATTTTCAAGATTGTACTAAAACATGAGTAAAGGGACAAAACTATAAAAGTTAATTACGTATCATTTAACTTAACATAGTTTGATTAACTTGAAATATTATTCTTTACATTTTGTAAAGTGCTTCAATTTGTATATGAAATGCCTTCAGATTGAAACTGTAACGCCCTCTTAAAAATGACTTTTCCCTAACTTGAGAGGATGTAATCTGAATTACATGTCAGAGCTGAGGGGTTATATTTACCAAAGCCTGTTTAGAGTCAACCCACTCAGAGGGGACATGGCTGCTGCAACTTGAGCATTAAGAGTTTTCTGGGAAATCCAGTCATTCACCAATGCTAACGCAATTTTCCTTCATTCTCCTCCTAAGCCATCGTCCAATCATAGTCAGTGCTACTGACCGCACCTTGAATCGGACACCTGACAAAGCGATGCACATCCAGTCAGTAATTTTATTTGTCATGTACTTCCAGGTAAAATTGACATTTGTTTGCAATAATATCCCTTCTCATCCTTTCATGTGTAACACAATCATTGCACTCATCTTTCTGAACCAAAAATAAATACTAAAATCAAGTTATGATTATTTGTGTGACATTGCTTCAGACTTGATGTATAAAAACATTAGAGAGAGAGAAAACAAAGCTGAAGAAGTCAACTAGCAGAATTCCACTCAGTCAGCAATAGGAATTTAAAAGACATTAACACACTGTTATCATTAACACACTGATCAGACATGCGTGTGTAACAACAAAAAATCCTACATTGCTCTGCTTGTGCAATTGACAAGCACGTTTACAGCAAGAAAAGCTCCAAAAAAGGCATAAATGTTAAACAACTAAAACAAAGTCCCCAGTAACCTGTCAAAGATTAATTAAACATGCAACTAAATGTAAAAATGTTGTTACTGCATATAAAAGTACAATTTTCTATTCTAACATAAGAATTAGAAATTTTAAAAATTAAATGTTCACTTACAAGAATTCAATTCAAACATGCAAAAATTATTTAATAATCTTCTTTTAATAATTTTCTGTTTCAGTATTTTGACTTTTGACAACTAAGTGCTAAAGGAATTTGTACATGCTAGAACATTCCTAGTAAATAAAATAAAATTCTGAATGTTAGAAAACTCTCTCATACATTTCAAATTTATTTCAATCATTATTAATAATTTACATATTCACAGTGAATTTCTGATATAAGAAATTGTGGATTAAAAGCTAAAATGCCGAACACACTCAATTCGGATGTGCCAAAGCTTCAAGCATAGCGTGTTCAGCCACTGTCTACATAACTATCGGTTTTTACGTGTGGCTGTTGTATGATTTTACTCTCAGCTGTCACCTGTTTGCACCTCATCAATACACTGTAAAATGTGGAAGAGGACAGAAGGTGATTTAAACTACTAATAAGATTTGGAATGGTTTGAAATATTGCTTTGAAACATCTGAACTTTTATTCTATTTTGCTTAAAGTTAAATTTTAAGTTGAACAAACATTTTGTTCAGTGCATAAACACGAGTCAGCAATCAGTTGACAATTATGCTGAAATAGCTGGTAATTAATGGGAGCTATGTGTGTCTCATTCAATTAACCTGGGAATAAACCTTTCCACCAGTTCCACCTTTCTACACACACATGGACAGAGGTAGCTCTAAATATACGCACATTCTCACATACAAGGGAAAAACGGTGAATCAAGTAACAATGTGTGTATGCATGTTTTATGTTTGATCTGCCAAAAACAATTATTTTAATAGCCAATTACTCATGTGAACTAATCAGGTAATAATCGATTAATCTCCTTAAATGAAGCCTGTAAATGTGAAGAGCTGTAAAATTGAGATATTGAGAATTGAGACTGTTCAACAGCTACATTATACACCTGCCTCTAATATTCACATGCCCCTGAAGGCCTTGATTTCCTGGATCAGGTGTGTTAGATTAGGGCTGGAGCTAAACTCTTACTGCCTTCAAGTCCTCAGAGCTCCTACTTACGACTTCGGAGATCGGAGTACGACTTGATTTGTGTTCAAGCGGTTTCGGTTGGAAATGAGTGGAAATAATGTTCTTGGTTTACTTTTATTTTTCTATTAAAGAAAGCCTGTGTATATATTATATCTGTATTTCCAGGTGTGGATGCCTTGCAGTGTTAATGTCATGGTTGATGAATAACTGAAATACGGCCAGTTTATCAGCGGCCATCGTTGTTTTTTTGTTGACACGCCCCCAACTCAGAAACTCAGGGCTCAATGAAAAATCTGAGTTTCCTACTAGTAAATACGACATTGTGGTGCTGTTCATGTGCAGCCATCTCGTAAATATGATATTTCCAACATGACTCGAAAGCAGCAGCTAACAGGACCACGACTGGGCTCCCCTGTACTAGACAAACTAAAGTGAAAAATCAGTTTAATCTTTCCTCATATGGATGTTTGTGAGTGATGAAGAAAAAAGTGTAATACCACGTTACATCATGGAACATTTAAGAGAAAAGTGATCCTTTATGTTAATATAATGTAACAGTATCACTAGGCATGGGTATCAAAATTCAATTTGGTAACAAGCGAATTATTGGCGTCCATACTGTGACAATGTGTATTGTTTTTGTGATAAATTACATCATATGTTACAATATGCTTTTCTGAGCACATTGTGGATATCAGTACCAACTGCATGTTTGATTACAAAGAGGGTCTAATGAGTCCTGTTTAACAGGATTTAGTGAAACACAGTGTAAAATGTATGAATACAAATAATTTAATTCATAGTTTCTTATGGTACTTTTAAAATACGTGCTTACTTACTCTGTTGTAACTTATCGGATGTCAGAAAAAATAAATATTGTGACTGTGTATCGTTAAAAACTGAAAAACTAAAGTATTATGATAAGACATTTTGCCAAATCGCCCACCTTTACTGGGAGGTATCGAAAAATTGTGTCATTCCCTACCAAATTTCAGTAAATAAGTTGAATGGCAAACTTATCAGCATTATTATAAGCCAATAAGCATGCCCGTTTCAAAATCTGGGCTGCTGATTGGCTATCTGAATTACATCCCATATGCATGCTATTAATGTTATCACATTGATTAGTTTGCAATTTCTTAGTCAGTAAATATACCCACTTATAAAGTCTTATGCAAAGGTTTGGGTCTGATCAAATTACATTTTTTTGATTTTCTAAGTGAAAACAAGTTAAGACATCTTCCACGGAGAACAAACTGGGCAAAAAACAAAACGTAAATATGGACTGTGCAAAAGTTATGGCACATTTTACACTGTATGTTTTCTTGTGCAGTAGAATCAATAACATTTAAATCAGTTCTCTGTAGAGCAGTCGTTCCTAACTCCAGTCCTAGGGATGCCCAGCCTGCACAGTTTGAAGTTTTCCCTCCCTCAACACACCTGATCCAAGCTAATTATTAAGCCCTTAACAAGTGGTGGCAGATGTGTTAAGGATGGAGGGAATTATTGTGAATTATTTGAATTATATTCACTTCACTAAAACATTTAAATTGACCAGGGATGTTTAAACAGGGATGTTTAAACTAAACATAGGACTGTTGCATTAGCTATGCTCCTTTTTGGTTTAAGCCACATCCACTTTCGGTTTGATATTTAAAAGGTATTTAAAAAGTATGCTGTTCAGGAATGCGCATCAAAGTGTTTGTACTGATACTGATATCAAAACCTTTTTAAAAGAGATTCACCCCTAATTATCACCAGGCCAAAATTTACACTAGTTTGTGATGAGTAAAATGTAAAACTAAGAAAAAACAAAATTTAACATACAACTTCCAGCCCATTTGTAAAATAAAACACATGCAAAGTGTTTTTACCGAGTACATCTAAAAAAAATAAATAAATAAAAAAATGAAAGTGGCCAAAGAATGCTTTATTGTTTAATGTCTATTTGAAATATCTCACAAGTAAAAAATATATTCAAATTTTTTTTTACTCTATGGAGAGATGGAGCAGGAAGCAAGAGCCATTACTCACCATAGGTCTGCGATTCTCCACCACGTTCAGCCCGACAATGCCCAGAAATGTTCCGAAGCTCAGCTAGGACAAAACAGAAGAGGAGTTTCTGAGCCACAAACACAGTCTATGTTTATTATTAATCCCTTAAAATCTAAAGACCCACATCTAAATTCCTCATTCGTTACTACATAACTTACATATTAGTTCAGAGTAGTTACTAAATAATAAGTCTTCAAATTCATAACTTTTCAAAAAGTCTACAGTTCAAAGGGTTAAGCCCCAAACTTCTACAGCAAGTCCTTTTCATTAAGCCAACAGCACATCTGAATCCCTGACACTTACCATAGCCAGAAAGCTGTCACAATTTATGTAAACAAAAGATGGATAACAGTTTTGTCCATTACACTGATGAAACTGTGTGTCAAGAGATTCACTTAAACTCTTTTCTTTGGAATAAACTTGGACAATGTTACTCACTATAATGCCAGGGTAGTACCCAGCCACTGCTACGTTGCCAGTGCGGGTGGCAGAGAGGAGCCCAATCACCAGCACGACGATGGACAGCATGAGCAGAACCACAGTGCACCACAGCGCTGTCCGACGTCGCTTTGAGTACTGCTCTGTGAGCACAGTCAGAACAATACACACATACAGCACTGTACAGACGTCTTCAACAGTCTGGAAAAATAGCTTAAAAACATTTATCTGGGTTATAAATAGAGGCTGGCCAATATGGCAAAAATGTAATAACACAATAATTCAAGATTTTATATATATATATGTCACAATATTTATTTTTTGTGATATCTGATAAGTTAGAACAGACAACAAAGCCTGAAAAAACTATGAATACAATGATATATTTTCAACATTTTACACATTGTGCTGCACTAAATTCCATGAACTACTTGTAAAAGCACTGGATAACATTAGAATAAATACAAATAAACATTAATAAAGTTAAAAATGAATAAAAGCTTCTTGGTTACAAAAAGTTTAAACTTATTTAACTTAAAGTATTGATGAGCTGAACTCGCTACTGGATGGTAACTCTATACACTGCATTTCTCGAGGACAGGTGTGGAAAAAGTTCAGCGAAAACACATAACATGACACCTCAATGTATAATGTTTATTTGTATTTACTTCTAGTGTTTTTCCAAAGGAAATAAAGGCTTACTAATTGAATAAATAGCTTTAAATATCATTTTCTCAGGTCACTTTTGCACAATATCGTAGCTGTACAAGGAACACAAGAACTAACACCACGATGCAGCTTTCATGATTCGTGGAAGGACACTTCTTTAGAATAAAGTCATGAAACTGCTCATGTACCTTTATCCAAGATGTCACGAGCAAAATGAATAATCACGTATGAGTCTATAATATTCATTTGTGACGTACATAAATATGGCTTACTGTCACAAACTCAAATTTGAACAATAAAGTATACAAACGCCTACACCGAAATGTCTATCATACTCCTACATACAGCAGCCATAACAAAGCAGTGAACAGTCTGAATGTGGCTGAATGTGAATGTAAAACTACAAGAGAAAACTTTACCACACAGTTTAACAAAACTGATGTGTTTCTCACACGTACACATGAGAACTGCTCCTAACACAGTAATGCACCAGTAGACATATTCATTACCAACTCTTGGCATGAGAGACATTTACCATGCAGAACCTCACCCTGATGTTATGTAAAGTGGCTCCAAAAAGTATTTGGACATTTGTATCATACTTAAAAATGCATTAAAAATGTATTATGAGCACAGTATGTTGTCAAATGTTAAATATAAACTGGACTCTTTAAAACGTGACTGTTCCAACTCACCAGATATCATAATTCATCATAATAAATATTCATGATATTAATTTTTGCCCTGTAGCCCAACTTTAGGCCACATGCTTGAAAGAGGAAAGAGTCACTATAAAAGATAAAACCAGGGAAGTACAGTGCAGACAGAGTCCCAACACCAGTCTGCACATGTGAAGCAGTGAGATCTGGTGATGAGCAAAAATTAAAATGCAGCTACTAAACTGACTAATTTGACTGCAGGTGACCCATAACAGAGAAAAAAGCCTTACTGGACTATTCAGTGTAATTACTGTCTACTTAAAGAGGAACTCACATCAATTTTTCAAAGAAATTCTACATAATTAAACGGTAAAGATGTACACACAGTCATTCACAGTGGTTTGGTGTGAAATGCTCGGTTCTAGAGAAACTTAGAGTCAGAATTGTTCACAGAGGTGGTGATAGGAGTTTAATGTCTGTGAAAGCTACATCACAGAAAGTTATTACATGAAATGGTTATGAATTTGTGGTCTGATGCCTCAAACATTGTTTAACGATAGTTTTGAGTGAAGAATTTGAGCTAAAATGTATTTTTCAAAATCTATTCAGGCTGGAGGGGCCCACGCAGGGCACGTGAATCAAAATAGTACAGAAAACGTATTTTTTCAGATTGTCCACTATTTTACCATCATCACCATTACATATAGTAACTCAGAAGACACGTGTACACCCTTACAAAAGATGGTGCTTCAACAGTTCTTTAGTAAAGACAACCATGAACACTCAAAGAACCATGTGCACGCTGAATTCGTTTTTTGCATCTGGTTCTTGAGACTGATGGAGAATATGTCTGTATATAGAACCTCTTTGAAAAGGGTCAAACTTGACATCGTAACAATAACAGAAGCCTTTTTTGTGCTATACAACACATTCTCCATCAGTCTGAAGAACCATTTCATCATGCAAAGAACTAATTAAGCATGCACATGGTTCTTTGAATGTTCTATATAGAACCAATCCACCTACTAAAGAACCATTTCCGAGACTGTAGGTTCATCAGGGTCAGAAATAAAGGTTCTATGCAGGTACATTTTTCGCTTACCAACAATGTTAATGTACCCCCAAAAGGTACAACAGTGGTTTTAAGGTCCAATTGTGCACCTTAAATAATAAGTTTTTTTCCAGTGTAGAAGACACATATTTGTACCCTTTCATAACCTAATGTTTTAAAACAGAACAATAAAATTAAAGCCTGGAGACGAGAAGGTGTGTGTGGAGTCGGGACAACTTAGAAAATATCATTTCAATGCATTATGGTGCAGTTATGTTCCCTAACTAAAGGTAATGAGATGTACCCATGAGGGTACCAGCCTTGTGACAGGTGGGGTACTGCCCCAGTGACAGTTTCGTACCGTTATTTCTAAGAGTGAATTCTACATGACCAGCAGTGAGAACAGCAGAGAGCTGAATGAATGAGCTGTGTGTGAATCTCTCTCTGTCTGTCTGTCTGTACTGACCTGCAGGGTCGCCGCTGTCCGCCGCTGCCTGAACCGCCGGCTGCTGCTGCGGCTGCTGCATCTCTGACTCCGCCGCTCTGGAGGACTAACGAGGACAAACTCCTGAGAAGAGCCGCGGCTGAGAGAACAGCTCCCTCCTCGTGAACGCTGCTCTGTTCGCTCCTCTCAGCTCTCCACGCTGGAGCGCGCGGACCAACGGACGCGCTCGAGCCCTCGCCGTTTCCAAGGGAGAACAGCTGAGCCGCGTTCTGTTACTGTTGGCGGGAACGTAACGACTTCATTACGACCTCAGGAGCCAATCAGGGGCCGAGATCAATCACAGAGAAGGACCAATGAGGAGGCAGGAGCGACTCTCAGACACGCGAGCCGCAGCGCGAGGATCGGGTTATTACTCTACTTTCAATTATTTACATCAGTGTTTGAGTCTCTTTCTGCCTCTCCGTGGAGCTGAAGAAGAGCTCAGTGAACCTTCAGGCCGGTTTGTGCTTCAATAACTGAGCTTTAGTTCTGCTCTTGTTCAGTTCTGAAGAATGAATCTACTTTCTGTCCCTGGTTTCAGTCATAAACACATCCAGCTCAGTCTTTTTGTGTTTAAAGAGCTTATTCGGACGCTCTAATGATTGTCCTACCGCGCATGCGCATTAGTAAAGTACAGCGCTGCTGTCAGACCAAAACCCGTATCTCCAAAACGACTTTACAGGAAAAAGAAAAACATACTTTTAATGTAAGTCAATGTAACCAGACTTTTCCCCATGTAAATATGTGCTGTTTCTTCTCGTTGGTTCAAATTTACACGTTGTAAAGGTCAACAGGCATTTTTAAATTACGACAAAAACTGAAAAATGGTTTTGTTCCAACAGCAGTGAGAGGAATCTGGTATTTCTAGTGTTTTATTGAGTTGTACTGTTATTTCTGCCTATGAGTGTATTATACAGACTATGCCGAATAATACCCACTTACCCCGATACACTGATTTAGGCCACAAAATCTACCGGTAGTTTTTATGCAGATAGTACTTTAGTCTATCAGAATATTCTACCTATAGTTTTTATGCAGATAGCATTACTCAATAACTTAATTTGGATTACTGAAATAATTCTACATGTAATTTAATGCTAGTACCATTGTCTTATAATGATTTAGTTTATCAAAATATTCTACTTACTTTTAAGCTGAGATCTACCTATAAATATTTCGACAACATAGCAAAATTAGTCAAAACAGATCTAAAACTGGAGTTTAATTTGTTATCTATGTAATATTCTGTTGTGCAGCACTGCAGGTCTAATTACCCTCATTAGTTTGACTGAATTCACGAGTGTCATTTTTGTGTTTTCATCCATCAGTGTTTTCTCACAGGACCCAGCATGCATTGCACAAATTCAAATTAAATTGGTTTCTGCTGTGCTTCTGCTTGACTGGAATTGAAACCTGCAAACACACCCACCAGCTGTTTGAGGTGAGACTGGAGTCCCCTGCTTTAGAGACCCCTGCAGCACAGCCGGAGGAGGCAAGTAGGTGTGTTTACAGAAGCCGATACTGCAGTGGTTAAGTTTTAACCACTTAAGTTCTTTATTCTGGTCAGTGTTCCTTTAATTTCATTATAGCAGGTTGTTGACAGCACCTGTGCTACTTTGGTTGCACATCTTTTGATTCTTTTGGGCTTTATCATTTTATTTTCACTTCAGTTCGTGATGATAGATGCTGGATGTACCAATAAGTTCTCCTGTAGTTAACACGTTACTCAGTACTTGAAGTACCAGTACTTTTGGCCTTCAACTTAAGTTGTAAATGTACTTTCACTTCATTATTTCACAAAAGAGTACTTTTATTTGAGTAATACTGAGTTCAGGCTACTTTTCCCTCCTCTGCAAGTTTGCTGATCCAAGACTTACTTTTTCAAACTATTTGAGGAAAAAGTAACACAAGAAACTTAATAAAATTTACTTAATTTAAATCCACAATGTGTACTTCCTTAAAGCTTAAGGACATTTGTTTGTGTATTTGAAGGAACTGGCTCACTACATAATGCTTTTTAGACAAATACAATCGTTCCACACTCTGCAATTCAGCACAGTATAGCTTTTATCACCTAACAATTACCAACTGAAGCTCAAGACCGTTTCCACTGCCAAGCTGCTGACCGTGCCTAACTTGATAGATTATTAATAACTATGTAGTAGATCTATAATACTGGTAATCATTAGCTGACCAATACATTTTACATTACCATCAATTTAGTGACGTAAAATTCAATCAATTTTAAGATCAGTAACACAGTTTATTCCATAATAAAAGTCAAACAAACATTAAAAGAGAGAACTTACTATGGACAGACATTACATTTAAAATAATTACAACATAAAAACCAAGGAAGATGGATCACTGTGTTGGACAGCCGTTGGTATCCATGTTAGCATTAGCCTTGCGTGGTGAGGAGTTTGGAAGATGCCACCAACTGTCCGAGTTTGCTCCGCTAGAGCTGACAGCTGCACTGGAGCCGGCATCTGAGAAAACACAGAACACAAGCAAATAAGATTAACATTCTTTAACAAAACAACTACTGGGCAGGAAAAGGGAAATTTTATAATGGGCTTTATAACCAGCTGAAGAACTGAAATCATGAGTAAAAGCACCAGTTACACTTAAAGTTTTGACTTTAGTATTAAAACTACAGTACTTCAGTGGTGTTCGCTATACACACACACCCACACCCACACCCCCACACCATATATTATTAAAAGGGAATTCTACTAGTTTTTCAAAATGTCTGTATAATTAAACTTTTAAGAGTCATTCATAGCAGTATGCTGCAAACTGCATCATCCAAAAGAAACGTACCCGTCAAAATGTTCACATCAATGTAACAGTAACAATGTCTGAAGCATTTAATACTTCAAAGCTCCCTCACAGAAATATAATTGGCTAAAATTATTATGAATACTGTTTCATGCCTCAGACAATGTTTTATGACTAAATGTATATAGTTGTTCTTTCAAATGTACTGCTATTTTAGCATTACCAACACTACACATAGAAACTCTGAAGACACGTGTAGGCTCACTGGTCATTTGGGATAGTAAATGAAGTCAATTTTATTTTTTTGTTGACATCACAACCCCTAATTCTTATTACTACCATTGTAAAGAAATCCAAGTTTCTCTACAGCTCACAATTTTATATGAAAACATTCTGAATGATGGCTGACCATTTACATCCCAACAATTAAAGTATGCAGAAAATATGAATTAGCAAAATTCCCCATTAAAGGAGCAGTGTGTCATACTCTGGCATCTAGTGGTGAGGCTGCAGATCGCAACCAGCTAAATACCCCTTCCTACACAGTGTATTCCTGACAGGAATATGTTTAAAGTGACCAACAACGTTGCGTATGACTGCCATGGTGTCAGCAACTCATCGCTGTAGATGCAGACCCTCGTTCACTGAGTCATTTGTTCATTAGCATGGCAATGTACACTAAGCTATGTCACATGGTATCAGATGTTGATATTAATGCATTTTATGAGTACGAGTAAAAAAGCACAGCATCGGGCCAATTCCCAATACCTGTATTGATGCATCCCTATTTCATGGCATAATGTTTTTGGAAAATCAAGGCCAAGGCAAGCTGGACAATGAACTTCAACACCTGAGTCAACAAATCAGCAAGTGATTAAGCCCTTCATGTGCTGGATTTAAACCAGAGGGGACGGTGGCTATGACATTTCAGTGTAGGAGTTTGATACATATTGTAACCCAACTTGTAGTTCATGTTAAGACAAAGTTAGTGCCCCATGTGTCCCAATCCCAAGTGCGACAAGTAAGCTTTAGTGCAAAACCACCACAAACATCATTGAGCACGGTGTATTACCCTCATCATCGCTTTCTGAAGAATCCACAGATGCATCAGCTGGTACACATGAGATTTCTAATAAGAAAAATGCACACTGACTAATCCGCAAACAGCTCCAGTCCCCAATTTCAGGGCCACAAAAACAGAGAACCACACAAATCTCATGCAGCTACGTACCGGGCATGGTCCCAAGGCCAGAGTTATCGAAGAACTGCTTAGGGCACTTGAGAGACAAGGGCTCTGCTCCAGAGCGGACATCAAAGAACTTGCTTTTTGGAGAGTCAATGAACGCTCTCTTGGGGGAGTTCACTTCACTTTCAGTCAGTGGAGGCTGCCGCTTGGATGGAGTGCGTGGGGACTGTGGAGCTTCTTTCTTGCTTTCCCTCAGCTTGTAAGCCCTGTTCTTCCATTTACTGATTTCCTCTTGTTGCTTGGTCACAAGGCTAGACATCAGAGAGACTCATTATTTCAGGGTACTTAGAGTCTTGGGCTATATACACTAGAATGAGTGAAGCTTTTAACTCTTACCACTTAACATTTATCATCAGTATTAAAGGAATGCATGCAAGTGTTATGTATTGCAAAAATAAAAAAGAAGTGACTATTTCCCTGTCTTATTTCTTATCCATATGCCTTACATGCATACCTGATGTAGTCTACCAAAATATTTACTGACATTTTCAAGTATATGTACACACAGCCCATAAAGCACAGACAAAATATAGACCTATATTATTTTTCAACAGTACAGTTTTCCTTGTTGGCCTTAAAGTCATCTTGTTGAAAGTAATGAAAAGTAATCAAATTACATTACTTTACTATAGGTTACAATAACATATTTTACAGGTAAATCAGTAATCTGCACCAGAATAAATATTTGAAATAACCTTCCCAACATTGTTGACCAAATGTTACCTTTCAAAGTGTGCATTTTTCTTCTCCAGCTCCTCAATTTTTTTCTCTTTAAGAGATGCAAGAGTTTTGGACTGGGAGCCTGCCTTAGGATGAGACTGCTCACCCTCCACAACTGTGCAAAATAAAAGAATAAAATTTACCATTAGCTGGTTAAAAAGGACTGCCACATTAAATCACTAAGTCAGTGAAACATCCTTACATGAATGCTCTTCCTCCTGTTGGGTTTTCCTGAGGTTTTCTTTCAGCTTCCGAATGACCTCTTCTCTGTGCTCCAACACCGAGGATAACTGCGC